TTCTCATAATTTTGCTTCCCTTATATCAAACACTTTTTGTGCACCCCTTAGCCCAAGTTATAGCGCAATAACCAGTTCACCACAAGGGTTATAAATAGTTTTACCTTGATGAAGAAACGCGCTCCAAGTAAACAGCACTGCGGTGCTTATCCTGCTTGCACTCGCTTGTAAGGTTACAAAGGGAACTTCGCAATTTCTTGAATTTTCAAGTGGGTATTCGTTCTCGTAAGGTCCAAGCGGAGATCGTGCCAGGACCTGTAGACTAGTATTCATACTTGTAGATTATCGATTTGATCTACAAAAAGAAGGATTGTCTACATTTGTGTTTCTTCTCCTAGACCCAGTGACAACATATCAAGCTTTCTTATCTAGTTTCTTCTCAACTTGACACAACGCCACACCACATCCCTCATGTAAAAGCCCTTTTCACGAAAGAACGGGGATCAGAAGACAAAGGTGTAGACATCGTGGGATTAAAGGCAGATACGTCTTTGACAGAGGTAAGTAAGAGCGAATTTGGCAATGAGCAAAGGCAAATTAGTTTTAAGTATTCTAGGTACTGATAGGAATATGTCGAGGTGTAATCTACAACCTGTTCAGTCTTCTCCCTTCAGAACTGTTCGTTTCCCATGGTGTCAAGAAGCTTTTTCTTGTTGGCAGCGCAAAACAAGATAGATTTTTGGCACATATCAAGCAATATCTAAAAGAGCACAATGCGGCCGATATTGAATTACATCTGGCTGAAACTGACACTTCGGCCGCCTATGGTATTGCACTGTAACATTTTTCGATCGGAGCAAAATCGGGAATTATTCGCTTATGAAGGTGTACTTGTAATTTCCCCTCACTTTTACTATTGTTTTACATAAATACTGATCAAAGAGTTTGTAGTTGAGAGTTTGAATTGAAACATCCAAGTTTTGGTAACCCCAAAGCAATAGTAGTTTGAAGTTAAGAAAAAATCTAACTTTCTTCCGTTAGAAGATTACCTCACCTTTTTGCAACTAGTATCATTCTCTACAGCTGTTTGCTCTAGTTTTGCAAAGGGAAAAAGGAGCGTGGCGTGGCCATGGTTAAGCCACGCCTGTTTCGGACAGCTGGGCAAAAAGTTTTTAAACTTTGTTAATTTTTGAAAAATCTTGAAAAGTTATGTTCGAAGTCCTCGAAATGCTATGAATGTTGCGGAAGATCCGAATCTGTTTCCAAATCAGATAGTTTTCCTAGTTAAATTTCATGACTTACAGGC